AGCTAATCAGATTTGCATCGTATTTGGAGGTACGTTCACAAAATGACTGCTTGTCTTTGCTATGAGAGACTTATCATGAAAGATTCGATAATGTCGCCTATTTGGTCAACTAAAGAGTAAGCAGAAGGCGAAATGGAGAAAAAAGATGTTACATCTACATATTATAGGTAATAGATATGTAGTTAACCAACCTTTGTGACAATAACTTTTAACAGATTTTAAAAGAAAAAGGAGGTTCTGAGCTTGACTTTTATGTATGTATGTATATGTATATGTGTCTTTCTTTGTTTGTGCGCAATTATCTAGCGATTGACTGAACCGATTTTGATACGGTTTTCAAAAGAGTATTTGTTTCACTTATGAGGATTTTGTATATTAATTAACCATCTTCAAAAAAAGATAGGGTTGTAGTCGGTTTTTTTTAAACGAATTTTATGAAATAACTAGCTACATCTGCGCGGTTTCACTCGCTCTGCTCGGCGCCTGTTAATCGTAGCGTGATATTTTATAGCCTATGTATATATAAGGTGTAACAAAAATAGTGCACAATATTTTAGTAGGTCAATTAGTATGTGATAAACATCATTTTTTTATGAAAATATTTTATAAAAACTTATCAATTATTTTTAATAATTCAATTATTCATTTATTATTTTCATTGCTTTTTATTATGCCATCCTGCAATATGTACCTATTCCTATGTAAGTACCTATTCGAAAAGCTCGGTCGTTGACCCGTAAGATAAACGTCCGCGCGCATCCACACGGCTGGCGTTATGCGTAAAAACACAACAACAATTTCGCAAATGTGATGCTAAATTTAATTAAACATGTTGTTGTTTACATTTTTTTTTAGGTAAACATAATCCTTATCATGTACTATATCACCTGTTAAAATATTGTGCACTATTTTTGTTAGACCTTATATAGCCTTCCTCGATAAATGGGCTATCCAATACTGAAAGAATTTTTCAAATCGGACCAGTAGTTTCGGAGATTAGCGCGTTCAAACAAACAAAAAAAAACAAACTCTTCAGTTTTATAATATTAGTATAGATTATTGTAGGTAACATATATGCTTTGTGACATAACAATAGAAACTTTAAACCCTTAAAATTTCAGCGTAGTTGCTTCGTTAGTGCACTGCATAATTAAACAGCCCTATGTGCAAAGTGTAATGCATAGCAAATTGGTTCTAATTACTTTCACACTACAGCATATAATACTTTGAGCGTAGAACCAAGGATTTTATGCTTATCTTCTCATTACTGGGTTTGTATTTTATTCATATTTTGTAACTAGGTGTAGTGTATTCATCACGCTATTTATACCTTGAAAGAGGTTTTTTTTTTTTTTTTTTTTTTTTTTTTAGAGTAGGCAAAGACATCCAGTAAAATATCTTAAAACTCCCAAGTAGGTGATGCTTTGCCTTAGAACTTAATGGGTTACCGGGGCTCCGGCTCGAAGTGCAGGAGTAGGAACGGGTTGGTTTTTAGTCAGTAAGAGTCTGACACTGCCTCCCGCCTCACCCAGGCGGGAACAGTCATTGGACGATTCTCCCCCCTTAAAAAAACCTTAGGTTAGTTTTGATGTGCGCAACGTGTAGCGATTTCGATTCCCGCACGAAGCAACTCTGTGTATGATCCATAAAATTTTGTTCCGGGTCTGGGTGTCATGTGTATGTGAACTTGTATGTTTGTAAACGCACCCACGACACAGGAGAAAAGCTTATTGTAGGGTAATGTTTAAAAAACCCCTTATGTTTGGTACATACGGCTACACATCGAGCTTTACATAACCAGTATAAACTGAACGTTAAATGTGCGGAAAGTCGCGGAGAACCTAACGGGTAACCGGGGCTCCGGCTCGACGTGCAGGAGAAGGAACGGGGTGGTTTTTAGTCAGTAATAGTCTGACACTCCCTCCCGCCTCACCCAGGCGGGAGCAGTCATTCGATGATTTTCACTTTTAAAAACAAATGTGCGGATAGACGATGCGACGCGATACCAGAGTAAACTGGTTTTGTATAGATTGATGTGTGGCCGTGTGTTCCTAGTTGCTCTTCATCATCAATAGCCCACGTGTGGCGGGCTGGCTGGAGATGGTAGTTTTAAAGGTTCATGTTTACCAGAGACATTTAGTAGAAATAAAATAATAATAAAATGTGTCTTTTCGCGACCCGCGGCGCGGCGACTGTCGCGCTGCTACCCGCGTCGCGGAATGCTGCTCATGAATATGAGCCTCTAGCATGGCTTGAAATTAATCGAGTTCCTCGTCGAATTACTACGTGAGTAAGCCGAAAACATAATAATTTATTTAGTATGTCTCACGAAAGTTACAATATAATAAAATGTGTCTTTTCAAAATTCTCAGCAGTTGCACGGAGTCTGGAATTGTGCCCGGTATATGGCAATAGGCTTCCCCCCTATTGCATGGGTATGGGAATCATAATATAAATAGTGAAAAGTGGATGTTACATTGTACAGTGGGATTAAGTGCCGTAATGTGAACCTCTGCCTACCCCTTCGGGGATAAAGGCGTGATGTTATGTTTATCAGAGACTTTTGCTGCCCGCTCTTTGTCAAATGTTAAGTCCTTTAGTCTGTTCTTGTATGTACCTACCCGCGGGGAGAGAAGGTACCCCTTCTCCAAATTTTTTATCTGTATGGCGAACTAGACTACCACGAACGTCATATCGCAGAGTTATTTGTCATAATTATTGGGAAAATATAGCTATTTAATAATATTTTTTAGACACATTTAGTTAGTCAATTGATCGCGAACGTGAATACGAACTGCGAAGCAACAGATCTTGGATTCGTCTTCCAGGGTTTCTACGATTTTCAACATCCATAGTAATAATATAGAGTCTAAATTCATTTACAGTGTATTTCAATAGGCTTGTCCCGTATAACGTGGGCTTAAACCGGGACTGCGAATGACCTTGCGGTTCACCGGGATTCTAGCTTGAACTGTCTGAAGCAGGAGTAGGAACGGGTTGGTTTTTAGTCAGTAAGAGTCTGACACTGTCTCGCCTCGCCTGAGGCGGGAAAGAAGTCATTGGATAATTCACTACCTCAAAAAAAAACAGGTTCAAAGAGGATATTACATTATAATACTTCTGCCAAACCGTTTGAAGAAAAGGAAGCAATAATTTAATACGTAGAATTATTTTAGTACGAACAATGAAGTTTTACAGCGTGGTTGTGCTTAGGTAAGAAAAATTAATTAGTTTTTTCTTTATTATTATTGTTTATCGTGCATCGCACAATTTATAATTACGATTGTAGCATTTCCATGAAATTGAACATTTTTAATGTTCCTAACTACTTAAAGGCTCGTACACAAAACTGTGATGCGAATTTGCAACGCAAAAATTGCGATGCGAATTGCTGCGATGCGATTCCGTGCGACAAAGTGATCCCCGCGGTGATCATTCCATAGACTATACAATATATACTGAGATCATTCCTTCGACGACCGTCAACCGTACTAAACGTATTTTAAATTGAAAACTAGGTCGTGACATAGATCGTAAAAAGAATAGGGTAGATGCCTAATTTTTATTTTAATGTCCGTCTGGTAGATTATTTTAAATGATTAGACACGTATTTTTTATTTTCTTACAGAAACGAATACTTTCGACGATATATTGATTTGAAATATCACATGACGTCACTTCTATGTACATTTTATACGTAGAAATGACGTTTTAGCCCCCACTCCTAAACTTTGATTCGTTTTATCTAAGTATTGTTTTATTTTACGACAAAATAAAAAATACGTGTCTAATATTTTTTAGTTAGGTACCTAACTTACGGACTAATTACATTTTTAATTTTCATACCCTGTTAGCATCCCAATTCTGTTATTGCTTAGGAGATATAGGAAAAAGAAACAAAGAAGATTTTGGGAAGATAAGACTTTGGTGCACGATGCGAATCAATTCGCAAGTTCTTGCGATGCGTAGAAGGAACTCGCACACTTTTGCGATGCGATGCCGCATCGCATTTTGTGTACAAGCCCTAAAACTCCAAACACATCAAGCTATATAATCCAGTATAAGCTGAACGTTGAATGTTCTGAAAGGCCATATAAACAGAGACCATGATAAACTGAATATGTGTAGGTCGATGTGTAGTTGAACCTACATTTCTTCTTGAACCTTAACCTTTATTAGTTTCATTGGGGTAGACAGAGACTAAAAACCATACAATTTATGGCAGGCCTTCGTTTTCAACCGACTTTCAAAAAAGGAGGAGGTTCTCAATTCGATTGTATGTTTTTAATTTTGGTGTACCGGTTGCTGCACATCGTGCCACAGGTTCGATTCCCGCACGGAACAAATTATTTGTATGATCCTTGAATTATAGTCCCTTTATAGCGACAAATGTTATTCATGTTTAATGGAATGTATGGTAACAAATAAAGAAAAATGGTGACACATTTATTATTTTTGCATGCCCGACTTTAACAATGGGAGCTACTGTTTTTTTCTCACTATATGGCGCAAATCTATAAAGAAATCAGTTATTCAGTCACTGCAGCTGTCTGACTTTAGACGTCCAACGGTATCAAACTATCTTATTTCCTACTAGCTTTTACCCGTGGCTTCGCTCGCGTCGATAAAAAGTAGCCTATAGATGTGACATATACCAATACATACAGCGCCATCTATACTAATACTTTTGTTTTCCCTCGGGAATATCAATTTTTTCGGGATAAAAAGTACCCTATTATTTAATCCAGACTTCTAACTTTACTTCTGTAAAAATTCAAAGCAATCGGTTAAGTAGTTACGGCGTGAAAGCGGAACAAACAAACTCACTTTCCGATTTATAACATTAGTAAAGATTGGACGAAGACAGAGAGGGCACAGTGGCGCCATCTGATGAGGAAAAATACAGTAGCGCTCTATGGAATAAATAGCACATTCGCCATTTTGGAGTAATAGATATTGGAACTTGCAGTGTCTTGTTCAGGCTGTCGAGGGGTGATAACATGACGTTCCCTTCTTGGTTCATGTTCGGGGCTGCCACAGCGGCGTATCAGATAGAGGGCGCCTGGGATGTCAGCGGTAAGACACAAAATTACAATAGAATTTACTTACGACATGGTATGAAAATCTTACCTTCTTATATCTCAAACTTTTAAAAAAAATTAAAGTTGAAGGGTTTTTTGTCTGTTTGTTTTAACGCGCATATCTTCAAAACTACTCTTCCGATTTGAATAACTCTTTTCGTGTTGGATAGCCCATTTATCGAGGTAGGCTATAGACTATAAAATATCACGCTACAATCGATAGGAGCCAAGCAGAGTGAGTGAAAACGCGCGGCATTTAAGCTGAGCTCTGCCCTTTTTGCGCCGTCTTCACTGTTTTAATTTTTTTTGTGTGTTATAGTACTTTGTAACTGTGAGCAAATAAAAAAAAATTCTTTCTTTCTTTATGTAGTAGCTAGTGTATTAGGCAAAGCTGATGAGTTTGTTTGGCGCTAATCTCTGAAACTACTGTTCGATTTGAATAACTTTTTTGTGTTCTATAGTCCATTTATCGAGGAAGGGTAGACTAGTCTATTACATATCTAGAACATTACCCCTTTTTTGAGTTTGGAATATCATCCAATGACTTCTCCCGCCCGTGTGAGGCGAATCAATACTGATTTGATAGTATTTAACTTTAATTTAGTAGTTTGTTTTCACGAACCTCTCATTACTTTCAAGACACTCCTAAGCTGAGAGGTGACACATAACGACATTTTGTTGTTCATCAACCTTTATGTGACACCTAACAGTACAAGTACTCAAAGTCCTTCCGCAGGCTAAGTAAATCTAAGCTAAGTGCTGATTTACATGGGAGTGGTTGGTAGTTTTTTAATTCTATTGCCATTAGCGTCCATTTTTCTTTTTTAGATAAGAGTGAAAGTATATGGGATAGATTGCTGCACACCCAACCCTCGCTTGTGGTGGACCACTCTAATGGCGATGAAGCATGTTACTCCTACGATTTCTGGGCAAGAGATGTCGAAATGGCTCACGAATTAGGACTTCAAATGTACAGGTCAGTTAATAACTTTAAACTGTCAAACACCGCGAGGACACCGGTGACCGCAACCTATTGTTCTTTAATTTATATTAGGTATTAAAAAATTTTCAGCAGTATCTCGAACTTAGAGTTGTGATAAGGCTTACCCATTATTACATGGGGCTCATGACATAAATAGTGAAAAGTGGGTGTTATATTGTACAGTGGCATTAAGTGCCGTAGGTAATGTGTACCTCTAATCTACCCCTTCGGGGATAAAAGGCGTGAGATTATATAACCTACTCCTGTTCTTTTCGTCCCGATCTCATCAGCCGTTTGATATGATGGAGTATCAAACAGACCCTTATTATATGTTCTGTGAAACAAAAACAACAACTTTCGCGTTTATAATAATATTCGTAACTGTCTGAGGTATTCGACGAGTTCTAATTCATGTACGGGGCATTTAGTTATGAACAATAACTGGCATAGTCCCTGATGCTTTATTTATCATCTTGTTAAAAAGACTGAGCCTCTTATGAAACACAAAATTGCATTGCCTACCTCTTGATGATGACTTCAGTCTCCGGATCTTTACAAAAAACTTGTGATTTGTATACCCAAAAAATACATAAATACCTACATACGTACATAACTTCACGCCTATGTCTCCCATGTTGGAGGTAAAGACAATGGAACGCCAATTGTCACGATTCTTACATACCTCTTTCTCTTTTTCAACAGTCATCAGTCTTTTCATGCATGCTCGTCGGTTAAGGGTGCTTTTAATTTGACTACCTACTTTAATATATCGCCAATTTGGTCGTCTACATGCTCGTCTAGGGCACCCTCTACTCACAGTCCCATTCATATCCGATTTGTATACTTATTTCATAAATCTGCTTTTATTCATCTAAAAAATAGGTTGAATAAATATTTTGTAATTCATAGATTCTCAATATCATGGCCTCGACTGCTTCCCACTGGGTTTCCGAACAAAATCAGCATGAATGGCAAGAGCTACTACAGCAAGTTGATCGATGGTCTGCTGAAGAAGGGCATCCAGCCTGTCGTTACCATGTACCACTGGGACTTGCCACAGTCTTTGCAAGATCTTGGTAACTTGATTGACCTACGTGGTCTCTTATATTCCCTTGATTTTTTATCTAGATCCCTAAAGTTTTCTATCGTGATGGTATTTCATTATTTTACTCAAAGTATTGTGCGTGGTTTTAAAAAAAAATTTCTTCTAGGAGGCTGGACGAATCCACTAATCGCAACGTGGTTCGCGGACTATGCAAGGGTCTTATACACCTTGTTTGGTGATCGTGTGAAATACTGGATCACGATAAACGAACCGCTCACGATCTGTGATGGTGGGTACAATAAGATGGCTGCTCCTTACCTGAATGACATGAAGATTTCCAACTATTTGTGCAGCAAGCATGTGCTGTTGGCTCACGCTAAGGCTTTTAGGGCGTATGAAGAATTTAGGAAGGGGTACCGTGGTAAGCCTTTTTTTTATTACGGTTTCTTGAGTTGCCTTAGACTAAGAACTCAAGGTGCAATTATTTCCCGCCCCCGCTGCGGTTGCGGGCCCGTAGCTTTTGTAGAACACAGATTTGTATGTAAAAAATCAAAGCAATTGTCACGGCGCGTTTTACGCCTGCGACGGTTGCAATTGTGTGCGGCTCCCGCTGTACTGGCGAGCGCGGGAGCAGTTCTGCAACCGCGGCGGGTAACACCCGCGACCTCTGTGATTGCAGAAATTGTGGTCCCATGAGTTTGGAAAATTCCACCTTCATTCCGCCACCACGGCGGGCGCGGGAGAAGATCGCGCCGTGAGTTCTTAGTCTTACTGGTCTATATTTTGATGCAGTCAGAAGTGTTTATTACACCGAGAAGAAGGGTATATAACTCGTATTGAAAGAAAATAAAGAGATTAAAGTCAGTTTTTTTTAAAACATGGTTATAATATGGTTACAGGCAAAATTTCTATGGCCAATATTTTCTTCTGGTTCGAGCCTTTGGATCCGCAAAAAGATAAAGAAGCTACGCAACTCGCAATGCAACTCTGGGTGAGTTGAAGCTTCGACCTTTGTTTAGGCATAGAAATTAGTTTATGAAGCTTCGTCGAATTTTATTTGTTAGTGTGTTAATGTGTATGAATTTATACATAACATCACGCCTTCTATCCCCTAAGAGGGAAGGTAGAGATGCACATTATGACACTTAACGCCACTGCACACTTTTCGCTGTTTATGATATGAGTCCCATGTAATAGGTGGTGAGCCTATTGCCATATACCGGACATAATTCAAGACTCCGTGCTACTACTGCGATGGTTTTCTTAAAAAAAAAACCAGTAATACTTTGCCCGACCCGGGAATCGAACCATTGTCCGGCAGTTGCACTTGCAACCATTCGGCCAACAAGGCAGTCTAAGTCTGTTTGAATTTATATCATACTAATAATATAATATCATGATACCCATATACGTAATCACACCAATTTTAGTTTTGGGTCTACATAAGTTCTCTTATATTTTTATAATAACTATCGTGAGACATATTAAAGTAACTAAAAATCGCGGGTTACTCACGTGAATATACTGAGTAAAGCTTTATTAGTTTCTAGGCTAGTTAGTAGACTGCGCGACATCGCCCTGACCGCGCACGCTGCTAATGAGGAAGAGCCACTCTGTGGCTCGAATCAGTAGAGCTTTTCTCAGTATCCTCAAGTGAGTAACCCGCGATTTTTAGTTAAGTTAGGTTTTTCATTTTTACTTACATATTATTCCAGGAGGGTCGTTTCGGTCACCCCATCTATTCCAAAACGGGAGGATGGCCACCAGAACTGGAAAGGTATATTGCGGGACTGAGCGTGAGCGAAGGGTACAATCAGTCCAGACTTCCTCCGTTTACTCCAGAGGAAATTCAACTTATCAGAGGTAAAATATATATTCCTTGTTAACCAACTACAATCAAGAGATCTCAGTTTGACCTGTCTTATGTATGTATGATTGAGCCTTTAGTTTAATCGCCTCTTTTTTTGAAGTCAATCAATTTTCTGAAAACCGAATGAAAATCGGTTTTTTTTTACACTTTATAGGTCGACGTTTGACCACCATCTCGCCTGATGGTAAGCGATGATGTGGCCGACGATGGAACACGCCTACCTATGAGCAACCTGTTCACTCGGGACTTGAAGACACCCAAGTCATATTTGACGGGAAACACAACCTCTGGCAAGGAATTCCATTCGGTTCGCATGAGGAAGCTTGACGCGAAACGCTTCGTGCGAATGGGTGGAATGTCCACCAAATAAGGGTGGCGCCCCGCCGTTTCTCTGGTGGTACGGTGGTGAAATGGACTAGGGGGAATAAGTTTGTGCAATTCCCACGCACACTCACCGAAATATATCCGATAGAAGACCGAAAGGCTTGCGATTTTGCGCCTGTGTTCGAGGCTTTGTAGCCGAGCCTCCACAAGCGAATCAGTATGAACTGTCGAGCGCTGTGTTGCGTGATGAAGTGTTGATGAAGATTTCTTAACTAAAGTAATTGTTCCAGGCTCTTATGACTTCTATGGGTTAAACCACTTCACCACCCGTCTAGTTAGGAAAGCTACTCCTAAGACGGCTGGTGACTGGCCGTTCTATGGGTCCAAGGAGTTAGGAGTCTCCTTTGTGAACCATCCTAAAAGGAGAACGATCGTCATTGACTGGTTTGCGGCAAGATTAATTTTATTTACTTACGTACGCCAAGTTATGTCTTTTGAATACCAGAAGAGAAAGGCAGCATTGCACTTAATCTTTTTTATATGGGCTAAGCAGGTAAACGAGCAGACGGATTACCTGATGGTAAGCAATCGGCGTCGCCCATGAACACCTGAAACACTTAACACGAGAGGTGTTATATGTGCGTTACTGGGCTTTTGGGGATTAGGGATTTGAGGATTGTTGAGGATTCGGGGATTGGGGAATTTTGGAAAGGCGGGGGTGGGGGGGGATAATTGGGCCTTCGGTAAACTCATTCACTCGAAGAAACACAACGCAAGCGTTGTTTACATTGGTTTTCAGCTCGACCGTCGTATCACTCCGGTCGAGCCTAACCATTCGTGCCGAAGCATGGCGCCCCCACACTTAACCACCTTTCGATTTTTTTAAACGTATTTTATTTAAAATTATCTTCCACAGGTTCCAAATATACCCTGAAGGTCTTCGGAAGCAGTTGCACTGGATCAAAGACAACTACGAGGTCAAAGACATCATGATCACAGAGAACGGGCTTCCAATGCTAAGGCTAGATTTCGCTGATTACGACAGAGTAGACTATATCAGAGAATATTTGAAACAAGTAGGTTCAAGGTCAAAGTATTTCATATCGAGGGGTAACGGTCTATTTGGTTTAAGCGACATTTTGGGCGATATTGAGTTATACATATATTCGGAATCAGCGAATTTTTCTCCGTCGAATCGGCTGCCACGCAACGTGTCGCGGGTTCGATTCTCTCTTTGTCCACAAATTGTTGTTCCGGGTCTGGGTGTCATGTGCATGTGAAGTTGTATGTTTGTAAACGCACTCACGACACAGGGGAAAATGCTAAAGAAGGGCAACGTTTAAAAAAAAATATCTATTTTTTTTAAACTACATCTATTATGAATATGAACCGAAATTTGCCATTTGTTTACTATCAGAAGAACCGTCTGATTGTTTACCGGCCTATCCCATAAAAAAAATATAAAATTAAAGATCTTGAGAATCTTGAAATGTCGATCTACAGTGATATACGATGATTGTTTAAGGTTCTCCTCGCCATAAATGACGGTGTCCACGTGATGGGGTATATAGTCTGGTCCTTGATGGACAGCTTCGAATGGATTACAGGGTATAAGTACGTATGCGAATTCTACAACTCTATACATAGGACCCATTTAGTTTTTAGTCAATTTTTTCTGTGGTGTAAGTCGTGCTTGGTGAGTGGGCCTCTCGTGCCTTTTCTTTCGTGCCTTTAAGCTAAAGTCATTCTGTCTCCTGCATAAATTCTTTTTACATATAATGTACATAATATCACGCCTTTTATCCGCGAAGGGGTAGGCAGAGGTGCACATTACAGCATTTAACACCATTGTATAATGTAACACCCACTTTTCGCTGTCCCATGTAATAGGAGGTGAGCCTATTGCATTATACCGGGCACAATTCCAGACTTCGTGCTACTACTGAGATTTTTTTTAAAAACACTAATGGCATGCCCGACCGGGAATCGAACCTGATACCGTAGCCCAGTAGTCGTAATTGCGTCCACTCGGCTAACGAGACAGTTTAATACTTTAATCGCCGCGCAGGTCACCGGTGACCTACGATAGCAGAGGATTTGCTTTCAGCAGTTTTCTGTCGGTAGTCGAAGGCCAACAGGAACGCGGGCGAAACCGCTAGCAGAAGATGCTAGTACTGATATAATTTTGTCTAATTTCAGAGTTAAATACGGACTGTACGAAGTGAACTTCGAAAGCGATTATCGGCTGCGCAACGCACGGGAGTCGGCGAAGTACTACAGAAAAGTGATCAAAAGCCGATCCTTAAACGTATTATAATAAATAATTAAAATTCGACAACATTCTTATGTTCATTTGGCGACATTTTTTTGGGGGGTAGGCAGAGAATAGCTTTTTTTTTGAGGGGGAAAATCATCCAATGTCTTCTCCGGCCCGGGTGAGGCGAGAGGGAGTGTCAGACTCTTGTCTGTCTGACTGTCAGACTACTCCTGCACCTCGAGCCGGAGCCCCGGCAACCCGTTAAGTCTTCCGCGGCTCCGTATCAGCATCAGCCCTATTGGGCCCCATCTGTGGTGGTCTGAGGCAAAGACTATGGAATGCACATTGCTACAATTCTTAGATACATCTTTCGCTTCATTTATAGTCATCACTATTTTTTTTTTTATTGATTAAAAAAAAAAAAATAGTCATCACGTCTCACGGTCCCCTGAACCTGACACGCATGACATAATTTAATTTTATTTATCGACAATCGACAAGTTGTTTCGGCATTTCTTCTCAGAGTAGTCAGGTACGAAATGTCGGCCTCATCGTTCGCTTGATAAAATTGACGAGTAAAAGTGGTGCCTTGTAGCCTATTTGCAGAAATAAATTCTGTTGGTTGTCATTCCTGTATTCGGTACAGAACACATTTTACTCGAAAATAGAATCTTTTCTAATCTGTTTATTGTTTGAGTTTCCTGCCATAATCAAATATCAGTAATTTATTTCACCATTTCAACAACACTATAGACTTTATCACAAAACAATAAAGTTTAAAATTAAACTGTTTTTGTACAGTATCGAACGCAATACGTTTCCTAAAATACCCAACAAAATTTAGGAGGTCCCATAACACATAACTTGAAGTAGGTAAGTAGGTAGGTATCGGTATTGCCAAGGGTAAAATTTATTCGCTTTTCACTAATACACTTAAGGGACTCTAAAAAGTGGGGTTCCGCGATGTACGGCCTAATAAAGAAACATGTAAACATTTAGTCGAACTAGTGAAGGATTTTGGGTTGCCAGGTAAGATATTCCAGTTATTATGTTTGAAAATTGGTAGAATAATGTACAATTCTCCAACTAAATTGATTTTTTTTTATGGGACAAGCCCACCACAACCTCCCAAAACTGCTGTAACTCCTACAGGATCTACAGTAGATACAACCATGAAAACACCGGAACACTGAAGTCCGGCGCGTCCCAGGGACATAAATAACTGTCTTGGTTCCCGCAACGAAGTGAATCAGAAGATATTATAAGAGGAGAAGAAGAAAAACTATGGTTTCCACTTCCCTCGGTGAATTACTGCAGGAGGCATGATGAATTAAGCGTAAGAGCACAACAAAAACTAAATTGTTTATGATTTTAATTGATAGAAAAATATCAGCATCGAATTAAATTTCCATAAAAAAATTCAAAACTTCTTTACATTTACAGTGTGAAACCGAACATAGTGACAGAGCGCTGATTCACAGTTTAAAAGTATCAATACATTTTGAATCCAATTAGCCCCAAAAAAAGAACAAAGTAATAATACCTACCAGTACATTTATATTTTTATATTTAACGACACATTATTGTTCGAGACCTACTTACTCCTTCATAGATTTTAACGTCTCAACGATTTTTAACCGACTTCAATAAAAGGAGGTTCTCTGTATGTATGTATGTGCAACTAAATTACGATCGGCTGAACCGATTTTAATTGTGTTTGCAGAAAAGTGTTTTTTACACCTTTTTTTATGGCTGCTCCCGCCTGGGTGAGGCGGGAGGGAGTGTCAGACTCTTACTGACTAAAACCAGACCCGTTCTCACTCCTGCACTTCGAGCCGGTGCCCCAGTAACTCGTATTGGGCCCCATCCGTGGTGGTCTGATGGCTCTTTGAGGCGCGCGCGGAACGCGACGCGCCGTACGCTCGGGTGTTTGTTATACGTAGGAGAATGATTTAGTATTAACAAGCGACCCGCCCCTACTTCGCACGGGTGCAATATGTATGAATTATACATATAAACCTTCCTTAAGAATCTATTAAAAAAACCGCATCAAAATCCGTTGAGTACTTTTAAAGATCTAAGCATATATAGGGACAGACAGACGGCGGATAACAACTTTGTTTTATATTATGCAGTGATTAACCAACTTTAAAACAAAAAAGAGACATTTGATGTTGGTTTTTTAAACGTATTTTATATAAAATAACTAGCGGACCCGACAGACGTTGTCTTGTAATAATAGGTATGTCGGAATACTGAAACGCTACTCAATTTTAAGTCGTGCTTAAGTATAGTTCTATTTCTACAAATTATTTGTGAAATGACAGAGATGGCACGATATTTGAGCACGACTTAAAATTGAGTAACGTTTCAGTATTCCGGCAATAGATAAATATCATATAATATAATATATTGTGAATCAAAACCATTCCCAGTTCCCCTTGAACACACACATAACATTTCATCCATCACAAGTTCAGTGACATATACACTCACAGAAAAATTATACATATAAAGATTGGATAGTTTCCTGGGTCAAAAATAAATTATTTTGATTTATCAACCCAATTAAATATTAAAATATAATTACTCTTTAACTCATTGATTTGACGATATACATATTTTCGATTTATTCTAGCAATTTTTTCAAAAATAAGTAATGCATCATATTTGACTCGAAAATATGATGACGTCATAAGTTAATTTTTCATAAAAATTCATAGAACAATATCGTTTTTGAGGTTTCGATAAAAGTATTGAATTTGAATAGTTGTCAAATGCCGTATTAATTATATGTTTAATTTTGAACATGGCAACTCCTAAACTTAACACTAGTACCACGATCAGTAACCCGTGCCACATAAATAAGCTGTTCGTCCGTTATTAGATTTATTTGACCACAGCCACTGGCGCGGACCACTGTGACCTCGTGAATCACCATGCCCAGCTAATAATGTACTGTTTAAACGAGTTTTGGATTAGTTTGAGTTTATTTACATCTGTTAATCACCAGTTTTCGCAAGTTGTGTTATAAATGCCACGTAGGCATAATCTTCTATATTAATAATTTTGTCAAGGGGTACGGAAGACTCGATCGAAACTTTACCTGAATAACAAAACATAAAAAATATCGATTTCGAGTCGACAACATATATCCGCAAAATTCAGATTACGGAGATTATTTCGTTTTATTAATTCATTTTAATGACACTGAAAGATAAACCGCAGTCGTCATCTTGAGTACACAATAAACGTTCCGTTTCTTACTAGCTTTCAAATACGCCTCGCCAATCAACACGATGTCGTGTCAAAAAAGTAAAAATTAACAAGAAATTCGGTTAAACCAAGTCCAAGCATGCTTCTTCTTTGCCTAACCCGAATGGAACTAAACTTTGCTTACCAGTCGTATCTGCAACCACTCGACCAAGAAGATAGAGGATGTTATATTAGTAACTAGCTTTTGCCAGCGGTTTCGCCCGCGTTTCCACGGCTAATGTGTTATGGGTGTCCATGGATGGTGCTGATCGGTTACCATCAGATGATCCAATGACAAAGAGTAGCGGAGAACCGAACGGGTTACTGGGGCTCCGGCTCGACGTGCAAGAGAAGGAACGGGGTGGTTTTTAGTCAGTAAGAGTCTGACAGTCCCTCCCGCCTCACCCAGGCGGGAGTAGTCATTCGATGATTTTCCCCCCTTAAAAAAATCTATAAAAAATGGCATACCATAATCTATCCCCGTTCCAAATTTTATTCTGATCCCTTCAGCCATTTTGATGTGAAGGTGTAAAGAATAAACAGAGAAACTTTCACATAATTGACGATAATACAAGCTTAGCTATCTAGATGATGGACAAAAATATAACCATATATAACCACAAAAAATTATATTATTTATCATACTTTGCCTTTCCCCTCAGGGATCAAAAGGCGTAATGTTATTTATGTTTTCTTAGTATATTTTATTAGTTATATAAGTTTGTGTGATGGTGTTTATGATTTAATTTATATTCTGTGGAAAACGCCGTTGGTTACACATTTATTGGAACTACCTATGTATTGTGTCATAATGTATCATGTAATGTGTCGCTGTTTGTTTTCCCAAATAAATAAAATAAAAAAATAAAATAAAAAAAAAACTAGGTAACTGCCTGCTATCAAAATCACCTAACAATAGGTTAGATGCCTAATTAAGAATAAGACACGTGTTTTTTATTTTCTTACAGAAACGAATACTTTCGACGATATATTGATTTGAAATGTCGCGTGATGTCACTTCTATGTACATTTTATACGTAGAAATGACGTTTTAGCCCCCACTCTTATACTTTGATTCATTTTACCTAAGTATTATTTTAATTTACGACAAAATAAAAAAATACCTCTCTAATATTTTTTAATTGCCTAACTTACGGGCTAATTAGAATTTTAATTTTCATACCCTGTCATTATCCCAATTGAATTTATCTTGAACCCTACATCTATGACTACAAATCTCGTAGCTACGCCCGATCCACCGGGAATTAATTCACCGAACAATGGCTAGGTTGCAGTCTACCTAGGCACAGTTACACTCACTGCGAAGTCTAGTTTGTATGTTTTCAGTTGCGGATGCCATGTTTGAATTGAATCATTTTAGGTGATTTCGTTTTTGGCGTAGTGGTGGTAGATGGCCTTCGTCGGAATACTGAAACGCTACTCAATTTTAACTTATATTTAAATATCGTGGCATCTCTGTCATTATACGTAGAATTTTTACATTATGACATAACATAACATCACTATTTCTGTTATGAGTCCCATGTAATAGGGGGTAAGCTTATTGCCATATACTGAGTACAATTCCAGATCCCGTGTTACTACTGAGAATTTTTGACAAACCCAGTAATACCTTGCCCGACCTGGGAATCGAACCCGAGATCCCTTGCCCGGCAGTCGCACTTGCGACCACTCATTAGTTTTACATTATGGATGCAATAATCATATGACTCATAAGAGTTAGGTTTAATTACAAGAAGTCAAGTGAGTGGTAATAACTATTTGTTTTTTTTAATGGGCGCAATGATTGCAATGTTG